ACGGCGGGTGGGGTGGTGCGTCACCGGGGACATCCCTGTTACTCATTAAACCGCTCCGCCGCGCAGGAAACCTCTTGTCAACCTCAAAAAGTAAACAGCAGAGGTTATGCAGCAGCAGATGGGCTTATTCTGGAAAGAGCAGACAAACTACCATAGTGGCAAGCCAATTCTGCGCATCGTGGGCAAACCCCGCGAACCGAGGGGAGTACCCACTTCCAGAGGAAGGGGGGAGTTGGGAAGAGCTTTGAGCGAACGTTCATTGGAGGAATAATGAGCTGGAGGTGGTCGCTCACTGGCCGCAGGTGATGGTGGAGGTGGCCTTCCATTGGCTGCAGGCGCGGGCTGCAGGCTGTTGCCAGGTAGAGAGGAAATCTTTTTTTCCGGCTGGTCTGGGCGGGATGCTGCGGGTGGTTTTGAGTCACTGCGGTGGAGGAGCCCAGGTCTGCCCAGAGTAGCCCTGCCCCCAGCTCCAGAGCCACTGGAGAGAAATAACGGGAGGAACAAGGTCCGGGAGGGGTTGGGGTGGGGGTGTCAGGAAAAGGGGGCTGGGCCATGTCTGCTGCAGTCCCTTGATCTCTCCAGCCCCTTATCTGGGGCGTTTTTTTCTGGGACTCCGTGGGTACCGGGAGCTCGTTAGTAACTGGGGAAAGCCAGGAGATTCTGGCTCAGGGAGGGAAATGACTCATTCAGTCAGTCACTAGCTGAGACTGCAGGGCCTGGCCCGGCCAACATTGCAGGCCGACGCGCGCTGCCCAGCAGGTGCCCTGGACAGGCCCCCAGCACCCGCGGGCTCGAGCATCTCTGGAGCAGTGCCCACCCGGGGCCCGATGATCTCGGGCAGATTAAGGACTTTTTCTTCCATTTCCAAGAGGCTGCCCATGAACTGGCAAATCGAATACCGAAGACATATTTGTCAAGGTAACACCTCATGAATGGCACAGACTGGAAGGGAAACTGGCCATTTCTACACCACATCTGAAAGCCCCGCCCACCAGCCGGCCACCTCCAGGCGCCCCTGCTCCCAGCGGAAATGCCAAGGACACACAGACGAGGCCTCACCGCTGCCAGGCCAGCCGCAAGGGCCTGGGACTTCTGCAGACAAGGGCTCTGAGTGGCCTCACACACAAGCAAGTCACGCCACAGGGGCCACTGAAGAATAATGACACCCATTCCTACCCAGCTCACCAGGACCAACACTAATTTCACACTATTCAAACTGTCCCAGAGGAGCTGAGGGTACTGTAGAGCTGTGAACTGAGGCTTCCCCACTGCTTGGGCCCACACCCCAAGTCCGAGCGCCAGCCACCCCTCCCTTTCCATCTCAGCCGCCCTCCCGCGTTCTAGAGCACTCAGACAGAGGGTGGAAACTTCAAAGAGCGGACAACGGTGGTGCCCAGAGAGCCAGCAGGTGGTGAAACAAGCAGCTCAAATGACTAAGATAAAGTTGTAAGGAGTAATCTAGAAGGGTGTCTTGTGCGCTTTACCCAGTTTCCCCCATGGGAACATTTTGCAGAACTAGAGTAACGGGGGTGGGGTGGGGGGGCGCCTGGGTGGCTCAGTCGGTTAACCTCTGCCTCCGGCTCAGGTCATGATCCCAGGGTCCTGGGATGGAGCCCCGCGTCAGGCTCCCCGCTCAGCCGGGAGTCAGCTTGTCCCTCTCCCTCTGCTGCTTCCCCCACTCGTGCTCGCACGCTCTCTCCTCTCTCTCAAATACATAAAATCTTAAAAAAAAAAAAAAAAAAGGAACTAGAGTTGGGATTTACACCCAAGGTATGACGTTAACACAACCCACCAGTTCTCTTCAGATTACTTGTTTTCCTTATACTCGTTTCGTGTTGTGTTTAGTTCAGTACAACTTTCTCACATGTGTGATATCGCCACAGTCAAGATACTGAGCCCTCCGTTACCAAAAGAAGCCCCGTGGAGCCCTATCCCCACCCCTACCCCTCATCCCCTAAACCCTAGCATCCGCTCACTGGTCCTCAAATTCTAAAATGTGTCATTTTTTTTTTAAAGCTATTAAAAAAAAAAAAAAACCTCTATACATAGAAACAAATGGTCTCTGCCCTTTCCGAACTGGCTTTCTCTACTCCGCAGAATTCCCTGGAGATTCGTCCACATTGTATGGATATATGGATCAGTAGTTGGTTCTGTGAAAAGGAGTGAAAGGAAATTTCATTCAGAATGGAGTCGGGAGGCCAGCAGGGGGGGCGCTCACACCTTATCACTTGTCACCCACCCCATGGGAAGAGAGGCACTTTGCACCTGGGTACTACTTTAGTTACTACTTCGCTGCCCTTGTAGGAGGAAGGAGGGTCCCCCCTTCACCCCTGCAACAGACCAGCCAATGAGAGGCAGGCAGAACCCAGCCAATGAGAAACTGTCCCCGCTCAGCCAATGAGAGACAGTCCTAGCCCAGCCAATGAGAGGCAGGCAGAACCCAGCCAATGAGAATCTCTCC